TCCCAGGGCCCGTCACCATCACCACCGTCCCACCCACCACCCCACTCATGGGACCATCACCATTACCACCATCCCACCTACCACCTCACTCACAGGGCCCGTCACCATCACCACCGTCCCATCCAACACCCCACTCATGGACCTGTCACCATCACCACCGTCCCATCAACACCCCACTCACATCACCCAGAAACCTGACATTTTACAATCGAGGAAATGGGTGCAAGAGAAGGGACGGGACTTGGCCACATTAAACATGACCCGCAGGGCTGGCACCCAGGCCAGACGCACCTCACTCCATACCAGGGTCTGTGTCCCACCCCAGGTGTTGGCTCGACCTCCCAGGGCTGAGCGCTGCCCCACCCTCTGTGACAGCAGTTGTGATGGCAAGTGTCACTGTGGTGGTCCCAGCCGTCCACTCCTCCTTGGTGCCCGAGAAGTACCAGGGCTGGCAGCCAGGGGACCTGTCACCTGCCCTCCCCCGCCCCCACCTTGGACACACCTGTCAGAGCCAGTACAAAGGGGGATGATTCCTGAGCAGCTGCTGGTGACAGACAGGTGGGCGATTAGGTTACAGGTGCGGGGGAGGAACGTCCTTTGAGCCATCACCCCGTTCCTGCTGCCCTGGTCCACCTGGGATCCCGGCCAGGTGCCCTGGGCCGACCCTGCACCTGAGAGCGTTCATCACGCCACAGTGCCCTCCCAGCTCCCTCTGCCTACCTGGGAGGGCAGGAGAGGGATCCTGGTCCATGCCTGCCCTCGTAGACCCCGGAGACTCCAGCCAGGTGGGACAGGGGCAGGGGGCTGCGGAGGGCCCTGCTCTCTGCGTGGGATGGAGCCCCCAGCTGCCATCTGTCACGTGGATCAGCATGTGACAGCCCTGCCTTGCTGTCTGGAGCTGAGCCAGGCAGCGCAGAGGCACAGCGGACGCCCGGAGAGGCTGAGCTGGGGCTGAGCCTGGTAGCCCTAGGCCAGGAACAAGGCCCAGAGAGGGGCAGCCACTGGCCTAAGGCCACATAGCAAACCAGGAAGCCACCTGGGGTCATGCTGGTGGTGGAAGGGGTGTTTCAGGATCCCGAGGGCCCCCCTCCCTGGCCAGGGAGGCTGTCAGGGGATCCCCTGAAGGGGCTACCTCTGGACTTATGTATTCAGAAACAGGCCCGGAGGGGGTCCCCAAAGAGGCCCGTCCTCCTGGGACAAGGATCCCAACCTCCCTCAGTCTGGGAGAACACTGCCCCTCGGCGAAGAATAGACAGATTCTGGACCCTCCCCTCTCTGGGTTGGTGCCTCGTTGTTCCTCAAAGCCACGGGGGCTCCCTGGGCCTGGGTTACATTCCTGCCCAGGGGGATCCCAGGATAAGTGGGGCACCTACAGGCAAGGACACACCAGGAGTCGCTCTTGGAGTTAGCCATAGTGGGCGGCGGGCTCTGGTGTGAACCCGGGCTACCCTGACCCAGCCTCCTGAGGCGAGCGACAGGGGGTCAGAGGTTAGGGGCACACAGAGGTTCTGAGGGTCCTGAGACGGCCAAGCTCGTGGTTTCTGGGTCTTACAGACTGGCTCTTGCTGGTCCTGCCTCTTTCTCGCTGGGTGACCCTGGACAAATCACATCACCTCTTTGGACCTCGGTGCTGTCCTATGAGAAATGAGGAGAGTGATAGGATCGGGGTTGCTGCGGACAGCACGTGAGATGATGCAGTAGCACAGGTGGTGAGGTGTGGCACCTGGGCTCCAGTCCTGACCTGTGGCTTAACTGTGGGACCTCGGGCCAGTGATTTAACCTCCCTGTGCCTCTGTTTTCCAATCCGTAAAATAGGGTAATAGTAACACATGCCCAAGTGATGTGAGGATGAAATGAATCATTTCACGAAACAGATTGTCACCCTTCTGAGTGGCCCCTGTCCCCTCTGAAGGAGGCTGAGAGGTGCCCCCTAGACTCCAGGACAAGGTGGGGTACCCAGTCCTCTGCTGGTCCCACCTCCTGCCCTCCAGACCCCTCAGCTCCCACCATCGTCTCCCCAGCTTTGAGCGTTTCCACTGCTGGCACTGCCCTCCCTTCCTCTTCTCTGATTCTCATGCCCCCCATTCTACAGGGGAGGGGTGGAGCCCAGGGAGGGGCAGGAATTTCCTCAAATTCAGATTTCTTGGTTTGTGTGTTACTTTTCTTAATTGTGGTAAAAACTATCTCACATAAAATTTGCCATTTTAACCATTGTAAGTGTACAATTCAGGGGCATGAATTACAGTCACCATGTTATGTGACCATCACATCTGCTTCTAAAATTTTTCATCACTCCAGACAGAAACTCAGTAAGTAAGAACTCCCATTTCCGCCTCCGCTCAGGCCCTGATAACCTCTCTTCTACTTCGTCTCTGGGAATTCGCCTATTCTAGATACCTCACGTAAGTGGGATCGTATACTGTATGTCCTTGTCTGTCTGGCTTCGTTTGCTTAGCTTCTTGCTTCCAAGGTTCATCTGCTACTGGCTGAGTAAGATTGCACTGCATGTACGTTTTGATAGACATTTGTTGACAGACACTTTGGCTATTGTGAATAATGCTGCAATGCATTAACAGACAGGTATCTCTTTGAGTCCCTGTTTTCACTTATTTTGGGTAAATACCGAGGAGTGGAATTGCTGGGTCATATGGGAGTTCTGCGTTTAACTTTTTGAGGAAGAACCAGACTTTTCCACCAGCGAACTGTAAGAGTTCCAATTTCTCCCATTTACTTTGTTTTTTTTTAATTGTGGTAAAAGATATATAACATAAAATTTGCCATTTTAATCGTTTTTCAGTGTCCAATTCAGTGACATTAATTCCAACCACCATGGTTTTCAACCTTCACTGCTAGCTATTTCCAAAACCTGTCATCTCCCTAAACCAAGACTCTAGCCCAAGGTCAGGTTTTGACCCTCAGTTCAGGGTTTCTCCCTCGCTGCCAGGAGGCCAGGAGCCCTCTCCCCTGCTGGTCCTATGGGAGGAGGGGACCAAGCCTGGCTTGCTTCTGTGTCTCAGGCCAGGCCCTGCCCTCAGCAACGCCTCCATTTTGTGTGGAGGATTCGGTGGGAAGACTCTTATTACCTCCCCCTCCAGCGCCCCTCTCTGGGTAGAGGGGCGGGGAGGGTAGGCTGGGCAAGGGCTATGGCATCAGGTGGGCTCTCTTCCCCTCCCTCCTTCCCTCCCTCCGTCACTCAGACACCCTTGGGCCCAGCACAGGGCCGCAGACCTGCCCGAGAACTCCTTACCCCTCGCCTGCTGACCTCGATTCAAAGCAGACTCCTCGGCACTTGCCAAGTGACCTTGAGCAAGTCACGTCCGCTCTCTGGGCCTCAGTTTCCTCACCTGTGAAATGGGGTTGATTCTACCTGCCTCACAGGGCTGCTGTGATGGTGAAGCTCCTGACGGGGTGCTTGCTATACAGCTGTTGTTGTTGTCAGGTGCCATGGAGTCGGTTCTGACTCAGCGACCCCGTGTACAACAGACGGAAACACCCCCGGTCCTGCGCTGTCCTCACAGTCGTTGCTAGGTTAGAGCTCTTTGTTGCAGCCACTGCGTCAGTCCATCTCGTTGAGGATCTTCCTCTTTTTTGCTGACCCTCTACTTTACCAAGCATGATGTCCTTCTCCAGGGACTGGTCCCTCCTGACAACATGTCCAAAGTACATGAGATGATGGCAGTAGGTCCTCACTCTATGTGAACATCCTTCTGCCCCTGTCTCTGCTCTCCCAAGGAAGTGGCTGCCCCAGGCCGTGTCCCTGAGGCCCTGCCCCAGCCTTCCTTCCTGCCAGCCCTGAAGGCTACGACCACCTAGTTCTGCCCTGTAGGACCCTCTCAGGGGTTGGTGTGACCCTTCCCAGAGTGCAGAGGTAGAGGCTGTGGGGTGCAGTGGCCGGACACAGTTGGCACTCAGTGAGTAGCTGTGATTGCTAGTCACTCATTCATTCGCTCACTCAGCAAACCTTAATCAGGCACCCTGTGCCAAGCACTTTACACACATTTTCATATAATTCTCAAACAGTGCTTTCCATACTTTACAGATGGGACAACAGGCTCAGACAGGTGTGCTGATGGGGCTAGGGTCACACAGTGAGGGGGCAGATGGGGATTCAAACCCAGCCAGGT